GCCCGCGCCGCCCCGTCGCGCCGGGGGAAGACCAGGCCCCGCCGCCGCCGGCGCCGGTCGGGCTTCGCCCGGCCGTGCCCCCTGGCGGCGGCGAGGGAGGAGGGAGGAGGAGGGGAGGTGCGCGGCGAGCGGATCTGGGGGCCCTCGCCGGCCGCCTCGCGGGTGGCGGCGCGGGGAGGGAAACCTAGCCAAAATGGACCGGATACCTCTGTCTGGCTCCCCAAGAGGTTTATGCGATCTAAGATACCTTTCACTCAGAGGATGTAAGGATATTTATCACTTGCCAGATTCATTGGGTAACCTGGGACAGCTGGAGACACTAGACATCCGAGATACCTTCGTAGTGATGCTACCAAAGACAATCATCAAGCTTCGAAAGCTAAACAGTCTTCGAGTTGGTAAAAGACCGACAGATGAGTTTGTCTTGTTTGATTTTGGGCTTGATAACAGTCTAGAGGCCTTGAATAATCGGCCAGTCATTTTGTCTGTCCTATTGGGGTTTCTTTGTATCATGTGGTGTGCACCTCGCTGTTTTTCTGATTTTGAAATGAGCCGGCGTGATGTATGCACTGCCGTTTGGTGTAATGAAGTTCCTACTATTGCATTGTGCCTGGACATGCATGGTGTTCTACTGCCAAGAGGGATGAGGAAGCTGAAAGCCCTGCACACACTGGGTGTTGTGAACATTGGGCGGTGGGGAAAGGATGCCGTACGGGACATAAAAGAGCTCATCTGGCTGCGCAAGTTGGGAGTGACTGGCGTCAATATGGAAAACGGTCAAGGATTGTGTTCAACAATTGTTGGTCTGACACGCCTGGAGTCGTTGTCAATCCGGTCAGAGGGGGAACCAGGTTTATTTGGCTGCTTGGATGGAACGTTTTCATTTCCGGAGACACTGCAGAGCCTCAAGCTGTATGGTAACCTGGTGAATCTGCCGGAGTGGATCCAGGGGCTCAAGAATCTGGTGAAGCTAAAGCTCCGGAGCACCAAGCTATCGGGGCAGGATGCTGCCATGCAAGTCCTTGGTAATCTAGCAAACCTGGTTTCCTTGCATCTGTTGTTGAATTCAAACCATCAGGGTGAAGCCTTCTGTTTCCAACAGGGGGCATTCCCAAGCCTGGTGTTGCTGGAACTTGGTGGCTCTATATCTGTGAAGTTTGAACAAGGAGCACTCCCTACGCTTGGGCTGCTCAAGTTTTTTGATGGGGAAATCAATAGTCAGTCGCTGTGGGGTGTAGCAATTCTTCCCAACCTCAAGGAAGTTGTGCTGCAAGGTGAGTACGATGACTGCATAATGGCATACTTGAGGGATGAGCTCGCCCAGAATCCAAATCGACCAATGGTGAAGAGGGTCTGATCTCGGTCCAAGGCCAAGCTGGGAGTTATGTTGTACTAGTATTTTCCCTGTTTTCCATTTGCTTGGAACTAATCGATGGATTTCTTTTACGGATTCCTGTAACCAGTATACAGTTTAAATGATATATTTAGGTCGTGATGGTCGTTGTACTACCATGCAAAAAAATAATGATCATTGTACTGATAATTCGGACACTAATTGCTCCCGGAATGTAGTGTTTACAGTTTATGTGGGAGGATCATCGAACTGAATACGCACTGATGTTTGTGCGCATAAAGAATTCACTATACATCAAGCTGGATAAAGTGAGATATTTTAATTAGTATTTTGCCCACGGTAATATACTTGAACTGTACGTGTTCTTTTAGTTTGATTGTTAAGATCAAGCATTGCAGTGTCAGAAATGGTGTTTTCTTTTACCGACTCCAATGTTTTCTTTTGTACAAGTGTAAGTATCTAATATTGTGACAAGAAAAATGGCAATGTCTGTATAATAATTGCTTATTCTTTTCCGAGCATGGTCATAAGGAGGTCATTACTTAGATACACGTAAGCATAATGTGTAGACAGAAACCTTTTCGAGCAATCTCAAGGTACAGACGATGGAACACACTACAAACTCAAGACAGTGCCCGTGGTGTCCCCTTATGTGGCCCAAGACGCCCGAGAAGTCCACCGGACTACTACGATATTGTAGGACCACCCGTCAGTTCAAAGCTATAGCCATTAGAAGATCTACGACTGAACTTGACAAATCCGGTCCCTCAAATGTCCACAGACGAGCCTCTGTTCATGGATTAACGAAAATGTGCAAGAGCTCTATTTGCCTTTGCCATTCGCGTATTGACGAGCGACATCTCAATTAATGGATTCCACATTCGGATACGTTAAATTAGAAATCTCAAATCCATATTATTACATGCACGTAAAGCGATCTTTAAGCGGAGCTCGTCCGGCTCCGCCGTGCCCATGTCCGGCGGCCGGATGTGGTCCCCAAAGTGTTGGTCCAATCACCGGCAAGGTAGAGTGGGGCATGGGACACAAGCCAGCTCACGGGACACAAGGCGCCGCAATCTCGATACCCTACTCCTACTCGTTGGAACACGGAACCCATTGGGTGGCGGTGGACATTAGATTGATGATGGATCCGTCCCGCGACGAGCCGGCGACATCAACCACGACGTGGTTGCAGCGCCCGGAATGGTGCACCATACGGCCTGGGAACGGAAGAATGCGACTCCGCCTCGCCGACGTCAACCGCCGGAAGGGTTGCCGCCGCCTCCCGCACCCATTTCCTCGCACGGCGGACACGCTGCGCCATGTCTGCTTCAGACGACGCCCACGGTGCGTCCATGGCCTCGGCGCGCCAACAGAGGGGTTGCGCGTCCGCAACCGCATTCGGATGCAAGACGGACTGCACCGCCTCTGGTGAGGCTGCAATGGTTTTCCTAGCACCGGATCCATGCGCCATCTGAGCGAACGCAATGGATTTTCGACGGAAGGAGTCCGAACGCTATAGTGCATGGGGCACCTCCTAGGAGCGGCGGAGCGCAAGCCGGACAACCACCTCCCTTGGGCCGTGTTGGATGAGTTTGGGATCGACGGATGTGAAGGTGAAGGACTCGGATCCACTGTCCACCATGCCAGAGACGGCCGGAGACCGCCGTAGGTGAGCTCTGGTGGCGAAGTAGAGTGGAGTGAAGTGGCTAGGGTTGGGTCCGGCGAGCGGATGGGATGAATATATATGGGGTTGGGTGGGCCAGTTTGGACCACCGTCGCACCTCCGCGTCACCCGATGAACCATCACGCATCTGCTAGAGCTAGCCGCTGCAC